CTGTTGAAGGGGCAAACTCCGACGATGCGTGTATGATCCCATGCAAAGGTGTGTCCTGTGTCGAGGCAATTTATGGCCACTTCGGACAAACGGTCACGTCTCTTCACAGCCAATTGGCATTCGTGGACGCGTGTGGAGAGGGAACTATTGATTTTTAGTTCTTCATTGCAATTTTCCTGTCAGTCCAGCGACTAGTTGGGGCGCCAAACTCAAAAACACACTCATTTTAAGTTACTTTTTATCCCAAAGAACATCTTCAAATTTAAATTTCTTGGGATGCGTTGTTCCAGTTTATACGAAAGTTTTCTTAGTCTATAAGCTTCCTTTATTAATCAATTGGCGTTGCTTTAATGTATTGGTCTTGCCATACTTTCTTGCCGTTCCTCAAACTCTTCACCTACACTTTTCGCTTAAGTAAAACAATTGCAAGCGTCTCTAATTTCTTCCTATGTGTGCATTCTTCCTGCACCCAAAAGGCATCCGATTTACCCGCACCTCCTTTAATTCCCTGTTAACACGGATTCCGTAAGAAACTTGGGTGGGGGACTCTTATTTCAGGCGGCCTCACAAGAACGCCCTACCAAAATATTTTTTGCAACTTTAAACAAAATTAACGGCAGTCGCAGAAGAGCCTTTAAAAGCACGAGCGTTTTGCTTTTGTGCGGAAAAATGACCCTAGCCAATCCGCTATGGCTAATTTAGTCAGTTGTGAGTCGCATACGGATGTGTTGTCCTCTTTATTTTACATTATCTTTTCCTTTTGATGCGGTACCCTTCCTTGTGTGGTGTCATACTCGTCACTACCTAAAACACTTGCAATATATGAGTCTTCCGACTTTATAGTTTATGAAAATAACGATTGTTAAAGCAAGCTCTGTACTTTTGGAAGAATAGCCGCTTATTCAGTGCTCTAAATCTACGGAGGACGTGTGGTGGATAGGCATTTTCGGTAGGAGTACCTCGTGGGGCCGCCTGGGGGAGGGAGCGCTAAGTGCGCCCCTCGGTCTTACGGGCTCCTGATTTCGGGAGAGAGGACGGGGGGCACGTCAGGGAACAAATTAGTTGGCAATAATCCTGTAAAATAAGAAAGTAACGAGGGTAAGTTGGGTCGCGTTCTCAAGCCTCGGGCGGGGACACTGAAGTGCGCATTAATATCATCGCTAACCCCACACCGGAACAACGGCGAGAACATGAGTGTCGGGGGAGTGTGCCCGGACCTCGGGCGAGGTCAGTGAGGTACACTGTCCAGTAGTACCACTAACTCAAACTAGAATAAAGGCGAGCTAGTGAAGAAAGTGTAAGATTTAGGAAATTGACCCTACTTAACGTTTGTGAATAGGCGATTATTCCCGTGGTTAATTTGAAAAGCCATTTTTGCTTAGTATGCTGACTTAAGCGGCCTTCCGAGGAACCCTCTGCAGTTAAATGCCATCATCCAATCCCTGCTGGATCGACGGTTGTCGTACAGAAAACTGGAAGATTGTAGGTAATTAAACTTGCTTAAAATGTGTTAGCAGCCGGTTCTAATATAAAAGGACCTTTCAAAGACTCCACGAGGAATCCTTCCTGTATTTTCTTCTGAATTTTATGATATTTCTTGAGTTAAGCTGCCTGCGTGGTTAAACAGTGGAATAAGTTCATTGATTCCGCTGTGCAGATGCCATCTTCGTAGGCAGTGAGGATAGAGTCAAAGGATCATGCAGTCTCTCATTTCTTCCACACGCTGCGGCAACTACAAGTGAAGGTGTAGATCCATCCTCCGCTTATTTTGCCTAGGAATAATGCTTCTTAAATAATGTAGACAATTTGTTTATACTTACAACTCATCTATATTCATTTGGCTCCGGAACACTTTTTGTTGATTGGAAGCTGACCGATATAACTCCCTAACAAAAGGAGTTTTTTTCACGGTCTGCTCTTTTTGCTCAGTTACACCTGCTGGCTCGTGTTAACTGGCATCATCCCGTCTGATTATATTACTTGGAACAAGTGAGTAGCCACCTACAATTACGTAAACGACATTCTTTGAAGTGTTCGGCTTTGCTCATGAATTTCTTAACTACTGTTTACCGATAGGGAGTTCAAAGGCGTTTGCCCATATTTGCCTTAATAAACTTGACTTGACTTCTTTATTAACCCCACCCACTTTTACTTTGCACATTGGGTACCCATAGGCTCGTGCATATTTCCTTCAATTAATTGAAATGAACATATAAAGAGCCATCTTATAGTATTTTGGAGCATTTATATATAGGGCCTTTAAATATGTTGCCTATTAGTATCAAAACTGCCATTTAATATCACAACATAAAGTACAATATTGGAGGACATCAGAACGCTGAACTAGACAGTCTGTCCTACGTCAGTTAAAGTGAAGCAGGATTCAAGGAAGGATCATTTGAAGCGCCGCCAATGCCTAGTTGGTTTTCTTTGAAAGACAAAGACAATTCTGACGCGGTCCTCTAAGCAGTGTTTGTGCGCTCTTCTGACGGTCGAATTCCTCCTACCTATTCGCCATTTCTTCTGTACATTATTCCTTCTACCTAGTGTCTCACTTCTTCTCCTCCCACACGGAACCAGGGCCGAAAGATAACAAGTGCAAGGGTTTTATCTATTCATTTAATCATCCGCAATATTTGTCATCCACGACATGAGCTGAGCTCGCTACTTCTAGATGTGGCTAAGTCAATCGTTGATAAACCTCCCTCGACCCTAACTGAATTATCCAGTGTCATCTCATGTGACCACGATATGCAGAATTTCGTAACCAGTATCCTGTTGTGTAGCATACTGGAGGTCACCAACCACTCTCAGCCAATTGAGCCCAGGCCATTCTTCCATTTCAATCTACCAAAGCGGTCCTTCTATGAGTGCCAGAACCCAGGACTCCTTCCCAAAATCTGATCTTACTTCTACTGCCAATGATATTTAATTAATTTATTGATTAGCAGTTTATAGGCAATGTCAAAAGATACATATAGTAGAGGGCTGAGGTGACAGTGAAAAAAAAACTCCTGGTAATTCTTCCTAGTGTTTCGTAGGAGAAGAAGCTGCAGCTAATTTAATTGTTCGAGACGGGGAAGGGTTGACACACGTGTGCGATGTGATCAGCCTCCCTTCAGTGTCATGCATCCGGTATTCTGAAAATGCTCCATGTCAGCTGAAGAATAAGCCGATCGCGGGCTGCAGATACAGCACCATTACTCTCAGCATAAAGCCCAGCCCAGGATTCAAATTCGGCGATCGCCATCGGAGCGGAAGAGAGATTCCACCAAGTCAGCACGCAGAATTCGTGGAAAGTGTCGTGAATGTAGAAAACGAATGATAGCTCTCTTAAAGAGGATAGATTTGCTGAATTTTGGTGCCTTGCGGTAGCGTATTCCACATTGTTACAGCGTCTACTGTAAAAACTGACGATACCTAATTGTGCGTGCCAGAAGAAGAAATATGAGACATCTTGATGACTGGTGTACCGAGAGTGGTCTAGCTGTCTCAGGGTACTAAGGCAGTTAAAGATAATGCTCTTGAAAAGTTTAAATATTAAAAATAGTCCGTTGTGTAATCTACTAAGCCACAACGGATCAAGGTTAGTAACTTTACGACCTTGGTGATAGGACATCTTAAGGTGTTCTGAAGGTAAAACCGTTTTAGTAACGAAATGCTGGACGGATTCTATTTTCTTCCTTTCACTAATGCACAGACGTTTAAGTAGAAGCGATCAATATTCCAGACTATATCGTATGTACATTTTATAAGGGCTGGTTCTAAGTTTGTTGGTTTTTATATTTCCTAAAAGAAATCTGGTATTCCGGCGTGCTTATAAGACAATCAGGGTTCTTGCTCTGACAGAAAATGACTATCAGCCTATGCTGTGTCCAGATCATTGATAACTCTGGGCACATTAAGGTCGTGACCGTCTATGCATATTTGAGTCTGATGAATGTCATCAACAACCGTCCTCCGAAACTTTGATAAGGAGGTTCCTTCAGCCGGACTACTCTCTAGTGGGACATCTGAAACGCAGGGAACTGATAGCAGAACAGAAGAGGAGACTTGCATCCGTAGAGAGCAGTCCGCCCATTTTCAGGGGATGGATGATGCAGAGGAACTCAGTGTTTCTTTGAAACCAGCCAGTGCTCATGATGGCGTTGACAAAGCGGTATTGGCAAACTCACTACAAACTGAACTAGGCAAAACTGCATGGTGTCGACTAAAATTTCTCTTTACGGACGCTCAGACTCTATTGTTGACATTCGATAATCTAAAAATACAGGCAAGCAATCTGTATCACAACAATAACAGAAATATGACTGTCACAGAGCATCAATGATTATGAAATAGAATTATGCGGATAATAATTATTAAGGGTACACTGGATGGAACGCCAGGTGGACGATTTTTTATGTATGTAAGGAGCAACTTATATATGTGCGAGACGACTGAAAAGATTACCCATAGTACGGAGGTTATTGGACTGTTTACTAAGGCAGGGGAGTCGTAACCTCTTGAAGCGCCATCTTTTCGCGACTACCGACGACAGACAATGACACAGATGCTTATTGACTGGAACGCATAAAGGAGGTTGACAATCAACCTGCCGTTGTTCTAATGAAGGTCTTCCGTGCACCCAGCATTAGTTAGAGCGATTTTTGGGTGAAGTGCTCTAAGCACACCTTTGATCACCGTCCGCTAATCACGAAACGTAAAGTGCTTCTCAAAAATTAAGTTCTTGTTCCAACTAGAACACGTAGAGGGTAACAGGCTAGTTGTTTATATCTCGTCTTCACTAAATATTCTGACTGAGTAGGGGAGGCATAATGCCTACTTCCAATTAAAGAAATTGATCACGCAATACTTTCATGTGATAACAGTACTCTGTACAGTCTAAAATACATAAACTGAGCCGAATATATGGCGAGGGGACGTCTGGTAGTTGAGAGCTGAGGCCTCGAGAATATACTTGGATCCTCTCCTCACCAGTCACTGAGGACTGGATTCTATTTAAATAGCGGTTGTTTCGTCTACTGCAGATCCTTTCTCGGTTGTCGATATCAAGGACAGCTAACCGACCTCAATGACTAACCGGAGGTAGAGGATGAGAGATCAATACGAAGGCCGAAACTTGAGCAAATGGAATCTTGACCCGCAGTGGTATTCGTTGTGACCTTGAAAATTGCTGTTAAGGTTACCTTGTGGAAATATTTTAAAATACGCGAATTCGTAGAACGGATAACACAAAGAAATTCAGGAAGAATTTGTAGGCTTTTCACAGCATAAAAGATAAAGTTAGTAAAGATTTTAGTAATTTATTTTGCTGCCCATCATATAAAAGTAACTATGCTGATATATCTACCTTCAATTTTCTCCTTTTATATAATAATTGTTAGAGCACGCGGTTATAGCAAGCCTATAAGCTTTAAAATTATGGTTCACATATGAATATCCCTTCTTATTCTTAGAATATCATCCACTGCCTTTCATTTTTTATGAAGAGCGCATTTTTATTGCATCTATTGCACAATTTTGTATAAGAAACTGAAGGGATATATTCGGAAAAAGCCGAATTTAGCGGCTGCCAAATATTTGGCATATGTTTTTTAATAAAGTTCGCTCAACTTTTCCCTCCTTTATCTGATAGTTGTTCTCTTCTCTGGATGTCTTGGCTATTACTTGCCGATCTTGTTTACACTTATGTATATCGCCCCTGTTGGTCAATATCTGCTTAGACCGCATGACTTTTATTGGTCATGTAGTACATGTTAGTTCGTTGAAAATATTGACTTATCAAATTTAGTTATTGACGAATACATATCAATGCGTGTGTTAGTCAATAGTCTCTTTGGTTGCTTTTTAATGGGGATGACTTGCCTTGTGCTTTTCATTTTCATAAATGTTATTCACTGTTTAATTTTTCCAATTCACTCTCGCTTACGGAAGACGTGTGAGGTATTATTATTTCTAACTTGCACTTGCGCTGGGTTATTTGTCTTGATTGCGATAACCCGCTAAAGGATTGATGACTCTCAGTTTACATGGCACTTGACCACCTAACATTCCCTTATCGCTATCCGTAGGCTAGATTTCTGATAAAGGGATGCGATTTCCTCACTGTTAATTTTTCGAGCCAGCAGTTTCCGTTTTAAAACAATGGTCACATAATAACTGAACAAGCGAATGTGGAAATAGCTCCAAGCGATGGACAGTTGGTCGTTAACCAAGTAAACATACTAGGTCTGATTTCGTATAGACAGAGAGAAGGCAGTTCCTATAAATCTTAGCCGATGACACGACTGATAGCAAACAACTGGTCCGAAGTATTTGCATTGGTCTAGATTCAACTCTAAAACTAAAGAGTTCTCAGAGTCTGTGGCCATCATCATTCGTCTTCATATTGTTCTGACATTGGGCACGATGTGTGTGAAAAGCAAATGAGGTATATGCGAGAGTGTATCCGTCAGTATAAATCAGTGTACACGTATATCAGGCAGTCTCAACCGCCTGTACCGGACTAGCTGCCCATCCAGCAAAAATCCATCTTCGCTTTCTCAGCAGAGGGCTGAACAAGCAGTATTTATAGGTAAATGAAAACGTGACATTTTCAAAACATTCGATGACGTTTGTATATATTGGATTTTTGCCAGCCGAGAATGTCTCCGTCAGTATAAATCATTGCACGCGCATATCACGACTAAACCTCTGCGTAATGGCAGTCTTAACCACCTGTGTTGGACAAGATGCCCACCCAGCGAAAATCTATCTTCGCTTTGTTCTTATACTACTCGTGATTAACATTTTATACCTATCGTAGTTTGAATATAAAAACAAAAAGCAATCACGTTAGTAAACGGTCTTTACTTGACGGCCGACGTTACCGAAAATAATGAACGCCTGCCTCAATGGGAACTGGCAACCCACTTTAAAAGAGATCAGTTCCTTTACGAGAAGGAAACATTATAGAATTTCTTTTTATCTTGCGTGGCAGTCTTAGGCTTTTAACACATCAATGACGACGTCAGCGCTTAAATGTTTGATAAATGACCAGGAAATGCTTGCAATAATGTTGATTACGTGTTTATCTGCGTTAGTAAAAATGAAACCGTTTATACTATTGTCTCTAAGGATGCGTCCACGACGGAATTTTGAAACGTTAGGCGAATAAATTTCTTGTCCCAGCGATCGCAGCTACTTTTACTTTGAAATATCATCTGTAATATGTCACTTAACCTCTAGTTAACTCAAGTTTCATGTCTCCCGAACACTTTTACACTGTAGTTCCTTAAAGTGTTATTAATTGCGGTCCCTAAGGGGTAATAAAAGAGGTATATTTACAATTATTTACGGAAATTAAAAACATGTGCCACTTTTTACGAAACACTGGGAACTCTATGAATAGATATGTTTGTATATTCCCTTATAATTACTCGTTACACTCGTACGGCCAATGATTCGAATTAACTTCAATCAAGAGCACACACTGTCATCGTACAGTGAGACCACTGTGAGTTAGGTACAATGCACACAGCTGATCCACCGACACAGCCTTCCCTTCCCTTTCTCCATTCACCTCTGTTGTTGTTGCATTCTTTTAGACTAAAGATGGACTACTGTATGAGTCTGATAACGCAGATTGATGAATCTGTCGCTCTTGTGATCGTGTGTTCTTTTGTGGCAACTTATTAGTTTCTGGACAGCTTAGTATCCGAAGTATTAGTATATTAGAGCGTTTTCAGTCTGCACTTAGCTCAGCACATTCACTTTTATATGTGAACGGTACGCCATAGAAGATGTAATTTAAAGCTACAGACTGCAACACAGCGCGGAGATTAAGTCCTTGAGATGATGAGGAACTCCAGCTTCAATCTCGGATCTACAGGGCAAGATTAATATCCTATCAAATTACACCGATGAACGCCGTTTTCGCGTAGCCTAGTTGTCTTGTTAGACCGTGCGTAATCTGCTCCTTCGAATGTTTCTTTGTTCAAAAGTATCCATGTAAGATTCTCATCTCGTGTGATTCATTGGCAATTTTAAACCAAAATCCTCATTCCTATTTTAACTAGCAGCAACACTCTCTCCATACTGGCTTCCTTATTAAGCCTTTGATCAACCAAGACGTATGTGTTTGGGATGCACTCGTTGAATAACTGGGTTGGGAGGGTTATTTACAGTCTCCAACCAGTCATAACCCAACCTCAGGACGGGAAGGCTAGAGTTTTATTTCGGTTAGAGTAAGCCTGTGCTCGATTATGGCCACCTGGCGATGGTTTACATGCCTTCAATTGTGTTGCAAACAGCTCGTTATTTTTTGCTTGTTAGCTTAAAGAAGATGCCGAACTGAGACTTTGAGGCCATTTATAATTCAAATATTTAACCTCGCAATTAGGTAAAAATTCCGAGGAATAGAAGAAGAAGAAGAAGAAGAAGAAGAAG